GCCGTGACCTATATGACACCATGACCCAGTTTCATCAAATAAGCGCGCAATTCGGGAATAAAAAAGAAGAAGAATTGAGTGCCGCAGGCAACTCGGCTTGAATTTGGGCGGACGATTTTCTTGTCTTTTCAGCTCCGTTGTTGTTGTGTATAGCGCTCTTCCTTTTTTCCCCCCAGTCCATCCTTCATTCAATCTTCCCCTATTTTTTGCTTCTCTGTGGGTAGGGCAATCAGTGGGTTTTTTTCGCGCGTGTTTGTGTTGCTCCTTCTTACGGGCAGCGTGTGGCAACATCCAATGCGCGCATCATTCCAGACCTAATTCTTGAAGTGCGCGTGCTGGTGGCGAACCTACTGTTGCGCAAGCCGTGTCAATTATTGATCGATAATTTATCGATTCGTTTATTACAAATCATTAAAACAACTTTTCTTTGTGATCCAACACAGAGAGAATATCACCTAAAACAAAAGGTTGATTAGATCTACAATACAGATCATTTGATACCTGCTGCAACAAAAGAGTCCAGATTTTGTTTTACTAATTCCCATCCTTAATACTAAATCACCGTGAGTCGAGGGTCGCTTTGGTTTTGCCAATTTCTTATTGCCATTTTCACAGCGATCAGTTGTTTCACTATAAAGATGGACCGAGTATGCTTTTTATGGCAACCCGCGAACTTTCGACCCTTACGAAGGGGGAACGGGCGCAGGGGACGGAGAGCGACAGGGCCTAGCCGAGCTGTGCGCGTCTCAGAAGCCCGCTGGCAGTTGAGCAATGATGACCGCTGCCAGCCCACCGTAACACGTGGTTGTTTGGACGGGGGTAATCGCTTGAAAGAGGCCAGGCAATTGACGAACTGTCAGATGGGAGACGGGCCCTGCCGGTACGTAACAACGATTGGGACTGGAGTAGGGGGGGGGGGACGGGTCAGGACATCATGAAAAGATGACGGGAAGGAGAAAAGAAAGAAAAGGGGCTCGAGGTGATGGCCCCAAAGAAATCAGGACACGGTGTAGTTTGGAGTGAAAACAGAGATTGGGCCGGCCGGCTAAATTAAAGCACAACAAAGTAGCGGATTCCTATATGGAGTGTTTACTCGGCGCGCGGGAGAAACTGTGATGAATCGTGTCTGTGTTTGGTGGGAAGACAAGACGGTCTTACAGTTATATTTCTGGGACTGGGGAAGTTCATTTAGCAGCACGGATTTTCTGTGAGAGAGCAGAACTGGAGCATTACTGTAGTGTGAATTGTTCACATATAAAATACGGATTCATTAATGTCTATCTGCAGGGAAACAATGAGAACTCAAAGACAAAGGGGTTTTCTGAACCTCGGCTCCACCTGCGGCTGGGGTTCGGCATCCGAAGAATTTAGGCTCCTAAACGTCGGTGACTTTAGCACGATAAAGGGCTATGAAATAGTAGGCCTACTTGGCAAAATTATGTGTTAACCAGAATTACACGGCAAAAGAACCGGTTACAAGCAACTTGGAATATTGGCTTGAAACCTGTCTTTCGTGAGCAGAAATTGTCTCTGCTGTCCACATTTCTGCGCAGAGAATCCGCGCTAATTATAATTGTCATGAATTCATCGGTGGATCGAGGGGGAGGGGCAATTGGGCAAATGCCCTCAAAGCAGTGACATTCATATTAGTAGTTGAGAAGATGAGTTTGGACGACTGTTTTAAATTGATCATTACTCATCCCTTCCCCCCCCCCTTCGGATTTGTGAAATATTAATTACAAGAAAGATAAGAAAAAAGGGGGCGAAAAGAGCGCCCCCTTGGGTCAAGTGAGGTCCACCCCTTCCCATAAGCGCAGAACCATTTAGGTTGCAGGCTAGTAAATAGGCCCGACGCCGGCCAAGTCACGATTTGCATACCTTCAATGTGTTTTTTTTATAAGAACATTTTGCCATGAGTTCAAAAGAAAGAAGGGTGGAAGCTGTGAACTTGTATTTCTGTGAAATTCGGATGAAATCGGGCCCTATAAAATTATCTATTTGCAATGGAGCGCAGGGATCATTTTTGCAAACTGGCGATGGGCTTTAGGAATATTTTTAGGGATGATCATCTTTGGATGGAATTTTCTCCCAAAAGTCATTGGTTAACCCCAAAAGAATTTGGAAAAAAAATGAAAGATGATGAAATAAGCTTTAATTTTGATGTGTGTCTCAAACACCTTGGAGAGTTGTGAGCATTTTTCAATAATTTTGGGAAGTGCGCGTAATTATCACTGAGGTCTATGGCAGTCTATTTACTGGTCTGCAACATTAACAATAAGGGAAGAACATAAGCGCAGAAACCATGGTGTATAGTAAAGCTATGAAATTGGGCTTGGGCGTGTCAAAGGTCAAGTTAGAAAGCCATTACAATAGAACATGTCGCAACACCAATGTTTTAAACGATTACAAGAAAGAAGATGTTTGATGGCCAGGCAGATATGCCGTTGACTAATCACGTGGTTAAACAAGCATGGAATCCCGGAGGCAGCCATCTTTAATAAACTGTTTTTTTTCTCGTGCCGCTTGCATCATGTCAGTGACAGAAGAAAAAAAATCCCCGCCAATGTTGGTCTGTGTGTAGTAATTGTATATTATCGATTACTGGGTCACCTTTGACTGTGCCGGGCCATTACATCTCCACAATCCATGGCCACGTGATCTCTGAACTTAGCCACTATCGATCGGTGACGAGAGGAGAGTTTCCTTTAGGGCTTGCTGGCGATTATCGATCAGTTATCGATCAGACAGAGTATATTGTGGACAGTAGGGGACGGCCGTCGCTAGCCACGCGTGTAAACAGAATGCCTTGATTTAATAATGTATGGCCCGCTGGTGGTCACTTGATTCTCCGCCGGGTAGACTTGTACAAGTCCTTTTTTATCGATTCAATTACGAACTTGGCACGTATATTTTTTTCGTAGGCGAAAAAAATAATGTAATTCTACCTTTTTATTGTGAGAAAATCTAGTTGGTAGTATGCAAATTGATAACATTACATTTACAATGCGGTCTGATAGCACCGTATGTGTTTTATGTGAAGCCAATGAATGATTCAACGCCAAGCTCAAGAGCGTCACTTTACGTTCAGAAGAACGAACAATATTTTTGGCATATGAAACAGCGCTGTAGACATAACGGATTTTTGTTTGGGCCTTTATCAGTCTCATATCCACCGTGCAGACCTTTCAGGCTCATTTAATCAGTCTTCGTGAAAAAAACAAAACGTTCTTCACGAAACAGTAAGCCCAGTTTTAATCGTAAACATCAATTTTGGTTATAAATTTTCCTGCTTTATTATTTTTTCGTATTGAAATTCACACAATTCATTTGGAACGGTGAAGTCTGTAGTGTATGTTCACATGCAATGACCAATTGTCTGTGTTCTTGTAAATTTCGTCTTGCATATTAGTATAAGCCTCGGGCTTCTGTTTTTGCCAAAATAATTTTGCTGCATCGTTTATATTCCTTTAGTGGGGCGAATGAGGGAAATATTTGGGGGAATTGTGCCTTTGATGATACAAGCCTGTAATTTGGTACACAGTCAGAGCATGTCGTGAGATTGAAGAAATTTGGCTATATATGGGGCCATTTGCAGATTTGTCCTGTGAAAAAAAAATATACAAGTAATTTAAAAAAAATTACAAAATGGCTGCCGTTGCTTGTTGTTCTACCTATATTTTTTCAAAGAACAAAAATAGCCAAATATCTTTCTCATGACATACTCTGACTGTGTGCCAAATGCCATGCTTGTATCATCAAAGACACAAGGGCCGATCACCTATCTGCCGTACTGCTACGCAGACTAGGCTTACGCGGCTATTATTAGATTTATTAACATGACTGATCAATTTAACACTTTTATGTTTATTTTCTCCTTCATTTACTTCATGTTGTTTGTTTATTTTAATTAAAGCGTGCTCCAAATTAACATTACGAATGTAAATTGTAATAAGAATAGTTACTCAATCTCATTGTTAATTGCGATTATTGAAAAAGGGGAATTGATATTACAAATAAACCCCGAATAACCACAGTTGTTCTTGCCAGTCATTGAGAGTGGAATTACTCAAGTCAGTTTCATCATCGATCGTTTTGCCGACATACACCCTGGCCTCTTCGCTGCGTGAGAAACTTAGCTCATTAAAATTGGAGGACTTTCCCACTCTTAGCAACCAACACGTACTAAAATATTAAAACGCTAACAAACGCGCGTTCCCGATCTCCACTACAGAAAAAGATGCACGTTCACTGCGGATGGTGCGTAGACATCGAACATTAAATAATAAGATGCAATAGAGGCACACACAAAAGATCCTTGGAATATTTTTCAAGGGGTTGGGTGTCAGAATCGCGTACTTATTGCTACATAATATGCAACTCCAATCCATTTTGTCCTGGAAATTTAGATATTCTTGCCTGAAAACCCCCCTCCTCCAAACGGAGGGATTATATTGTATAGCAACTCAGGTTGGGAGAAAAAGTTGAAGATGAAAGGTACATGTAGTAAGTTTAACAGGCTGGAAATGAAAATGAAGGTTTGGTTTATGTTATTCTTTATTGATAGAATGACACAAAAATCTTTCGCGTGCACACACTGCACAATCTGTGGTGTGAATTTAACACCGGTGATATTTATAATAGGACCAATGGTGTACACAGTTTACACCGGTGGTTCTATACATATACCACTGGTGTTAAATTTAACATCCTTGCTTTTGCAGTTTTTTCTCGTTGGTGTAACTGACGACATAAGAAAATGTAGCGATCAATATTGCTTCAATTTGATCACAGCCGACGAACTGTACTTAACATTAAGTACCGCGATTCGATCGCCACATAATACATGCTTATCCGATAACCTACTTGTAAACCATCCGTGTTATCAAAGCATGGCTGTATAAATTTACCTAACAGCATCATTCAAGCCACTTGGCCATGATAATCACAAAGGAAAACACGTCTTATCTATGCTATAGATCAACTGTTTTAACACGTACGGGGACCGTCTATTGACTACCTATACTTCAGGGTTTCCATAGCCGTGTGTTTTTAAAACCGGCAATTATACATGTTTCTTGGCTTATGACAAGAGGGGCACTCTGCCAGTGAACAATGCCGGCCGCCATGACGACGCGATAGACGGTCACGCATACCCAGCACGAGGACAACGGACTCGGTAAATCACAACACAATGGCAACGGTGTAAAAGACCTACTGGCCACAAAAGAAAACCGATCAAGGCGAACAAATGTTTATTGAAACCAGCCGTCCCTGACGAGTTCAGGCTTTGGTGATGATATTAATGATGGATAAAGGTTGTGTTTGTCATGCGGTATGCGTGGGGAAGCTGTATATTGCTTAGTGATTCTTCGCTTGCAGTAGCTATGCACACCGGCCATGGGCAGTGACGAAGTCTCTTCTTGTTACCGCATCTCGCGGATAAACTTCTAAACTGAAGAACCGAACTTTATGGAAGTTTCATACCCGATGTGGAATCAGACAACCATGTCAGAGGCTTGGGTTCAGTCGGGTTCTGGACTCCACCGGGCTATTCAGGACCAGAGGATACACCAAGTGCGACTGCTGGTCGGTATGGGCATGGACGTAGACAAGGGGGACTCGGCTGGGCGTACGCCCATGATGATAGCTAGCTCCTTGGACTCCGAAGAACTGGGCCTGAAAGTTATCAAGCTCTGCCTCAAGAAGGGAGCCGACATCAACCGGGTTGATACGGCCGGTCGCTCGGTGCTGGCCCACGCCTGCTTGCGAGGGAAGGAGACCATCGTGGCCTTCTTGCTGAACGAGGACAGCATGGAGAAGAACCTACCGGACCACAATGGTGACACACCGCTGAATCTGACCGCGGCCAGGGGAGAGCTGGGCTGCCTGGAACTCCTAGTCCAGAGTTTGGTGAAGGATGGCATCTCCGTGGATTACCGCAACAAGCAGGGTTGCACTGCCCTTCTGCTCGCTACCAAGGCAGGCCACTACAGGTGCGCACAGGTGCTCCTTCAGCAGGGCAGGTCTTCGGTGAATTCCAGGGACAACGAGTGCTTTATGAACCCTACAGAGTGGGCAAGACACAGCCAGAGGCTCCTTCAGCGGGACTTTAAGCAGAGGATCCGGGCACATCATTCCAGCATCGGCCCGTTGCCGACTGGAGCCTCGATGTTGGGCAACCACCCCAGACTGGCAAAGACCTTCCTGCCTCCGATCGGGATCAAGAAGTGGTACGAAGACGAAGAACTGCTCTCCAAACAGCGCGAAATGCAAGAATCCATGAGCGATCTCGTGCAAAGTCTCGAGGAGCGCGAGAACGAGTTACGAGATCAGGAAGCCTACGCCCAGAAGCCACCTCATGTCGCCAGGCCCTCCTCATTCGCTCCCACAGTGGTCTTCCCCAGCGGCCCGAGAAAAGACCACTACCTGTGCGCCTTGTTCAGGATGTATCAGGATCAGATCCTACACCGGCCGGCTAGACTCCCTTCAAGGCCCACCACTGTTCCTGTTGGCACAGAATTGCCAACAGACGAGCATCCCGGAGTAGGAGACGCAAGGAGGCAGTCGGTTGTCACTTTGAACCCAAAGCGGCCGTCTTTGAGAAAGCAAAGCACCTTGGCAATCGGGAGTTTCATGAAGACAAAACTGACGCTGACTGTCAACTGACTTTTAAAAAGATACCTGAACCTTGTTTTTCTCGTGGCTGCCTGGAACAGTGGAATAACCTAAAGGGGGTTAAAGAGCACAACCCAATCGTAGAGGGGGTTGCAAACAGGATGGGGAATTAACTAAAATAGTGCTCTAATCTTCGAGCCGGCTGTCGTATGCTTAATTCTGAAGCGAGAGGCAATGGCCTTCCCGTTGCACCAGCAAATATTTACCACCCCCACACATGTATTGTTCGTTTGGGAGAAAAATATTTTGACTTCGCAAGATGACATTTATCTCACTGGATTTTTTTATTGAATACTTGATAGGGCTTTATCAAATAAAAGTAAAGTTAATGCCAAGACACATAACCTTTGTCGGTATACTGACCTCTTCGGGAAAAAGATGACCATGTGTTTGAAAAAAAGCAGATATGATTATGATGGACGATATACATGTTGAGCATTGCACATATTCAATCATATAAATGTGATAAAAGCACCGCCACAATCACCGCAAATTCACATATTTTGTTTTATTGCAATTTACCATTCAATGATAGAATTATTGACGTTATAATTTGTACACTTAGCACGACAATCACAGAGTTTAATCATTTTTTATAATTTAAAGAATGTGTTAGTAAGAATAAAGTGCTTGTGTTTTCGACTTGCAAGTTTGTTTTTAGAATTTCCGTTCAAGGCAGTCACCTCTTAATGGCAGTCATTCGTTACTTACGTGCAAGAACTACCAATCATTTCCCAACAAAATAACACTGTAAAACAAAATATGAAAGATATAATATATTCAGAATGAAAGATAATTGTTATGTATAGTGTTTGCATGCTATGCTTCTCCCGGTTAGTATATACTACATGTTTAACCAAGATCATGCTAAGATAGTTCATCAAGTAATTATTCAACAGTTAATAATTTCATAATAAGTTCATTCTTTTTTTTAAAGTTAATAATATTTCCATTGTAAGAAATACAGGATGGTCCAAAAAAAAAAAGTTAACACTTTTTAAGATGTAGATTTCTTGGAATTGGGGCGACATGTTAAAATTGGTTCATTATATTCCTAACTACGGCATCATCAAAAGTTTTTTTTAAAGGTTTAGGGCCTCTCTCAGAATTTTCGATTTCACCAACTGACGCTGCACAGCATGTATGCATAGGCCCTACGTATAAAATGTACGTGTAAAGTCTGTCGTTCTGAAGCACGGTGCCAAATAATGGGCGTCGATCGGTGGGGAACAGGGGGACATGTCGTTCCCCAACGATTTTCGTCCCTGAATAAAAAAATGAAGCCTACATTCTATAGCTCAGAACAGCTGATTTGATGACTCCAAACTCGAAAAAAGACGTTTAAATGATGATCTTGTGCTAAAACTATGGCAGTCGTCAGAAATTGCCTCAAATCGCACCACAGGGCGCCTAGAATCCATTTTTCAGGGGCCCAAAAAGCGGGCCCCGAACACCACGCCGTTAAAGCTTCGCATTCGCATAATTAGTACTGATCAAGATACACATGAATGTACCACCCCCACTTTTGGAGAAGCTTTCGAATGTCCACGGCCAGCCTTTGGTCATCCCCCACCCTCCTCGCTGGCACAGATTTACGCCACTGGCCGTCATTGCACTCGCGCTGGTCACGATTCTAATCATACCACCGGCTGACGTTAAAGTGGCATTGTATTATATTGGCATCATTCCCCAGACTTAACGTAAGTACAAGAAAAGATGAATTTCCCAAGCTAGCTAAGGGAGCTGAATTAGAATCATACAAACAAAATCCCCTCGTAAATATTTTGTAAACAGGTCAGTAGTTTGATATAAATATAATGAGGTAGGGGAAACTTGCTAGAATTTCACTCAATCAGCCGGATATGTCAGTGCCGGCCGAAAGACGCGCAACGCGAAACAATTGATGAGACAGAATAAGGACGAGCTTGGTAAGGTTAATTGCTCGTAGTGACTCTGAATAGTCAACTGCTCGGTACATAAGAATGATTGTAGAAAAGAGTTACGCAACAGCATTCGTGTGTATAGCGCAATGCTAATGCATCTTTCGCGCAGCTATGAAACACAAAGTAACTCTCCCTCTGCGGAAATAAGGATTATGTTTTAAACGCAGAGAGAAAAGCACCTACTGAAACAGCCTAGCCGTTAAGCTGTCTGACGGCGGACCCAGGGTTAGGGGTTCGAACCCGCTTGGGGCCATATTTTGGTTTTCAATGCCCGCGGTTCTGTCATTTAAGAGTATTAATTCCCCGTCGTCATTTACCAACAGCAGTTAGCTCGGTCGGTCGGTAAGCTGACTCACAAGTTGGGACTGTCTGCGAAGTCCAGGTTGGCATCTGCGTATAGGTACAGGGTTCTTTTGCTGACTCGGCAGCAAGGCTTAGGGTGCCACCTCGTTTCCTCCCTTTATGGTGCCTGACTTTCGAGTTACATGGATGGACAGGGAAGGAGGTGTGGTGGGCCAGGTACCGAGTCCCGGAAGAGTTCTATATGGAAGTCGGTAAGGGGCTCATTGAGTTAGGGTCATAAGTCCGACTCCTGAAGACTTGGCCATCGCCACATAACTTTTTGTTTTATTTTCTTTCTTTTCTATCGGAGGACAATTGCAAGAATGATGAATTTGTAATAGGCTATTGAGAGCTTGTACTGTAATCGTTCGAAATTAATTTTTAAAATTGCTCGAAAATGCAAAATTCAATCCAGCTATAATGTTTTTATTTAATTGTCGCAAAACTGCATGTACATGCTCAGTACCTTTGCGCATACCTTATTCAGGCCTGTTCCCTGATCCCAGACTGCAGGTGCGCCCTTCTAACTTCTGCGGGGGCCGTATTTTGTCGTTTCAGTGATATCACTAAAATACCATTCTTACTGAATAGGTACTCAATACTACTTGAACCTCTCTTCCAAACATGAGGGTAAAAAACAACTCTCAAAGGTTTTCCAGACGCATCAAACCAAAGCTTGATGTACCCCCATTCACTTCCAGTTTAATTGTTGGGGGTTTAATCCAATGACATTTACGTGTTGTTTTCCTTCATTATGATTTCCCCCAATTTAATTTTTAGAGTCTGTATTATGTCCCTTTAACGCTTCCGTAATATTCCTTTACATTTCGTTGGGAAAAAATATATCGAAATTTTGAAGAAAAAACAACATGTATAGGCCTATACCTCCCTTATGTGCGTGACCCACAAAAAAAAACTGTATTAAGAAATAATGTGTTGGCTTGCAAATCGTGAATTGATCGATCTAGGTAATTATTGGACAATATACATCACATCATTGGACTGCAGGCTTTCGGCCCTTGATGTCAGAATCCACTGCGCTAACCCGCTGACACCATCTACACGTTTAGAAGTCACGGCTGAAGCAGGTGGCTTCTGGGACGTCGTAGCTAGCTAGTAGCTCGCCAGTCCTGCTAATGATGACGAGCCGTTGTCAACCCCCCCCCCCCCCTCCTCCCCGCGCACCGAACCGCACCGGTGTGTGCAGCGTGGCGCGCTGATTAAACCAAAACCTAGCCGAGCTTGCGAATTTGCTATCATAATGTTGTTCTATCATTGACTCGATTGACCTGGATTCTGCCTGCTGATATAATGGCTATTCCATGCCCGGGAGGATATAGGCAAGCCGATTGGGTAAAGGCAGCGAGTCGGAGCCGGGCTGTTTCACCGGCCGGTAAACCCGGCGTGTTGTTCCGCTGGCCGGGGTTAAATGTTGAAACTAGGGCACGCACTTATACCGAGACGTTGTTATCTCAACCATTCGGAATAATATATCGGTGACGGATCGCTGTGGCCCGCAGCAGAAAACAATTTGATGGGAAGTGGTGATGTTTGTCGCGGGAACCACAAACAATATATTTATATGGACACACTTGGCGCGCTTTAGTTTTTTTTTTTTTTTTTTTTTTTGGTTATCAATAAGATCCCCTCAGCAACGGTGCCACTACCAGCACTGACACAGATTCATCAAATTGAGAATATTAGGCGTGCGCTGATTGCCACCGTCAAAAAAGAAAGACAGATACTGGTTCGTGAGACAAAACTGACGTCATTTTTGAAAGGATGAAGACCAGTTTTAGCTTGGGGCGCCCGAAGCAGCAGACAGACTAAACGCAAACAGGTCAATAAGATCATTTTCCTCGGCGCTGGGCGTCTGAAGCGTTATTGGCTTATATTTCCGACAGCGAAGAGCCCCTGGCCGACCCTGTTTTTGCAGGTATGGCTTTTTTCCTCTTTATTACAGCACTGCTGATGTTGTCCTAAGAATAACTGCCGGAGGGCTACAGAGAGCCCAGAAGTAAGTGCAGTTTTGCATTGAGGTCCCTGCTTGACTCGCGTCAACACACATGTAAATCCGGCGTTATGACAAGAAAGCCTATCGGAAAACGTCAACATTTACTCAAAATGTTTTGCATAAGGGTCCCTGGGGAGTTTATGTCACTCTCTCGGATTCTGTGCCGAGGGGCTGGAGGCGATGGAAGGCTCGATGGTCTCCATCGTCAGGAAGGATGGTTGTTGCATCTTATTAAAGCCATAGTACAGCGAGCAGTTCTGGTTAACAAATGGAGAAAAAAGAAGAAGAGACAACTGCCTACGAACTGCATAATTGGCCCACAAAATCCTAATTGTTATTTTCTCAAGCCGTCCAAGGGGAGAGCCTCGCAAACGACATTTGTTCTTATGCCTCCGTGGTTCCACTTAGTTGATCGGAAGGACATTTTGACAATGTTGAGCCCATTCACTTCATGTGTCAATTACTATGAAACGCAGTCAACCTTTTTATCAGTTATGTGGAATATTGTCTTAATTAAATTGAAATAATGTTGATAAAAAAGATAAAATGCTATCCATATAATTACAGTGAACTGTAAAAACATGTTAAAGTTTTAAGCATAACAGCCCATATAGGTCTACATGTACATCTATACTGAGTATTTTTCATCGTGTTTATTTTCTCAAACCTTGAATGCCATTGATCATCATAACATACCGCAATTGCACACGTTATATTTTGTCAAAGAAACCAGATAGTTGGTGATATTTCCATTGCGAGGACTTATCAGGATAAAGTGTCCTCCTCAAGGACACTAACACAATGGCGGAGACACTGACTATGGCCATGGAGCTAGCTCCATGCTGTGGCACTCTTCGCATTCGAACCAATGGGACGAGGAGGCCTTGAAGGGGCAAAATGTTTGGGATTGTTTACTTATTTCAAAAGTCTGGTTGACAGGCCTACTGTCTTATATATACCGTTCCCGAGAAAAGACACAAGAAACCCCGGTTGTCTACATTGGACGCGGCAGACATTTTGTGGCATACGTATACGTATTTCAAGCCGTAAATAAGTCATGGAATTATGGGCTCTATCTTTGCGCGGTGACAGCATCAGACCGGTGCCGCAATTAGCTGTGATAATTTGATTAATCTAAAACAATAGCGGTGGTTTTACACCCAAATCAGACAATAATTATATTGATTCGACCGATGAACACACACGCGGTTTTTTTTCTTTTGAGAAACATGTGTGCGCCTGGAATCACGACTAGCACCCACACAGCTCGATCTTTCGTGACCCCCGAAATTCGTTCTCGCGCGCCATCGCAAGCATAACACAAAACGCCCTGTTTTAAAGGATGGCAGTGTGGATGTTTATAT